GTTGTATTTATCAGTGCATGCGGCGTGTTACAACCCAAACAATAAAATGTGGGAGCAAGAAACCTTGATTTCACACAAGGTGTTGAAGGAGTACTGTCTTGTGAACGACAAAGCAGTTTTCTATGCCGAGATCACCGATGTCAAACTAAAATCCCTCAATCCTGTTACAAATACCCCTCCAACCAATTGTACAGCTGAACGAATTAAACTGATGGAGGTGCCTCGGAACAAATCTAGATACACCTGGAAGATCACACGGTTTTCCTCCTTCAGGGGTAAAGGTCCTACTTCATACGAGTTCACGGTTGGACAACGGAAATGGTATATATATACTCCATTCGTTTCAATATGTTTTGGTTGAAAGTGCACGAATTAAATTTTATATAAATTGACACAATTATCTACATTTCATACTTAATGTTTCAAATAACAAATATAATATTGTAGGAATAAGTTACGAAAATGAGTTAATGGTTTTACATTGAGATAACAAAACATGGCCAAAACATTTGTTATATTATGAAATTTAATTTTATACATTTGTTTTTCATTTCAAACAGGTTACTAGTGATGTGCCCAAAAGGAGACATGCATACGGATGAACATTTGTCTTTGTTTTTGAATGCGTGTGATTACGTGACCAATGCTCCAAAGGGACCGACATTGGCCGTCTTCAAAATGCGAGTGTTGGACCAATTCAAACGCAACCACTATGAAAAAGGTAATATATACTAAATTTCTTCTAAGCTTTTCATCTCTAAATTGCTAGTTTTAATCTTCATGTACTAAATTGCTAATTTTAATCTCTTCTTGTTTGATATAAAGAAAGCGAACATTGGTTTCCCTACGATCCTCCAACAGGAAGCGCCAGTGGCTGGAGCAAGTTTTTGCCGCTGGAGAAACTCCACGACGCTTCGAACGGATATCTGGTGAACGATCATTTATATATCACTGTTGAGTTCTTATTTGTCTCCACTACCGAGAATCTCTGATTCTCATTAATGGATTCGATCAAGACCACAAGAATATACATACCTCTTGAGGATCTTATAAACCTATTATTCTATATTTGCATATATCGTGATGTTTGTTTGAATATCATGCATTATACAAACAAGCAAGTTTAATTTGGTTGATTGTATTGTCTGTCACCATAAGATTCAGCCAAATCCGTTGCTACGAATTCTCTTTTGGAGAAAACTACTCACTTAGAGCATGTCCATTAGTAAGAACCCATTAGGGGTTCTTAACAATTTTTAATTATTTTATTTAATATTAAATTAAGTTAAGAACCCTATTTTAATTATGCAACTTTTTTTCTTCAATTGGTTAGAATTCCTAAAAGGTTCTTAAAAATTTTAAATTAATATTTCTGAATCTATTGAAATTTAAGTCTAAAAACAAGGGACCATTCTCCTCCTCAACGCTCAAAACCATAGCAACTTCACAAAGATATACAACAAGAACAATCCGATCCCTTTGTCAACTAATAAAATTCATCAAAATGTGAAGGCTATGTAACATGCATCAAACACATGTACACACTCATGTATAGCAAAGAAAGATATAGTAGACTTGCCAACTCCAAGGGGTCTCATGTAAGCATGTTGAGTGTACACATGTGACTTGTCCACGATCCTGTAAGCAAGAAAGAAATTCATTAGCAGCAACTTGAGTTGAATACTTTTATCAAAAGATAGACAAATCACTAAGAAGCTAAGAAACAACTTAAAAAAGATGGTATACAAGAGACGACCAACTATACCATTTAGCAAGAATGTCCACATGCATCTCGTATCCATTACTAAATCGAAATTCAGTTGCTTCATTCCTCGCCTGTTGGACCAAAGACCTTGCATCAGCTGAGATTTACGTTTTCAATTTACCATCTAGAGTAATATGCACAAGAAATTATGAAGTGGATCTCTAAACTCTTGAGTTTGTCATAGACCAACCTGTAATCCCAGTGGCTAACAATCCAATGTACTTGGTGATCGGGAAAGGTGTGAAACGCTAGACTGATCTAAACGCTAGACGAGGTCTCAAAGAGCAATCCAATGATCTTTATGTGTCCTTTAACTTCTCTTTTCAGCTGCTGCAATCAGATGATAGATTAAACATCTCTAATCTCTCTAAACTATTCCACAATTTCATAAAACCATGTTTTTCTTCTTCCTAATCAAGATTCATCTACATGGACATGAGTTTTTGATTCTTTCTTTACACGCAGATCAGTTTCAAAGATCATATATAAACAATCACTTGATACAAACATGCAAGTTTAATTTGGTTGATTGTATTGTATGTGATTCAGCCAAATCCGCTACTATTAGATTTTAGGTCTAATAACCAAAATGAGACATGAAATAGGGAATATATAACCATTTTTGAAAAAATATAACAAATAAGAATTTAAAGTCTACGTGGACGAAAGTGACTTACGAAACAATCCTCTCCATTAATGTCACATCATCTTTCTTTAAGATTGTTTTGTAAAATTTTGTTTTGAGTTTTAATCAATATATGTTTAATATCTTAGTCCCATTTACGCTGGTTGAAGGATCTAAAGCAAGTGACTTTACACGTTGAATTATTTGGATCATTGTAAACTCAGAACCAAATATTCCTAGAGCATGTTCCATTAAAACAAAATTAAATTAAACAATGACGCCAAGAAGACAATATTTAGCTCCAACAGGTTCACAGCGCAACACTTTCTGGACGGCAAACTAAAACAAAAGTGATAAGAGAAAAACTTAAATCTATGTTTTTCATATTATCGGGTATAATTAAACCATTTGTTAGTGTCTAACCAAAATGATAACATTTTCAAAAGCAGTTTAGACATTTAATAAGAAAAAATAAATAGGGAGGTTTTCTTAATTATATTTATTATTTTAAAATTTGTAGCCTATATTTAATTTAAAATATTTATGTGAAATAAATATTGAAAAACTCTTGTGACATATATTTCTTTGTAGTCATTTCACATTGTAGGCTCATTTATATTGTCGATTTATATCTTGTTAGCACTGAATTCAAATAGTTGACTTAATATTTGTTGAATTATATATTTTTTTCACTTTGTAAGATATTTCATTGTGTAAAAATTTTTAATGGTTGAGCGGTTTAACAAAATGATATTGTTTTTATACTATCAGCCTATGTTCTGTTTGTTTTTTTTTTTTGGATAACTCAGGGTAAATCATAGACCAAAAAGCTCAGACTAATCCTTGGGAGAAATGTAGTCCATGGATAGACCCTTTCTTCAGATATGCAAATGGACCAAAAGCAAGGGCCCATATCCACGTGGGTGTCCAAGATAATATGACTTAGTTTAGCATAGCAAGTGGATCGAATCTGGAACGTGTTGGCGTCTTAGTCCCATCTCTTTACCACTTTACCACAGTGTCCTGGACAGTCTATGTTATGTTTGTTGTTGGCTTAAATTAATGAACTGGCATTTATATACTTATTGATACCGATAACTAGGTAGGGGCGATTCCGGAGATAAAAATAGTAGTATTAGACAAGTAATAACAAAGGTTTTAGGGTAATATGGAAATAAATTGCACCGGAGCAATTACTTATGTGGCTTTTTTAATTTGTTTTTCACTTTGGGTGAGTTACTGAGTAAGTTGACACCTTTTTCTAACGCTCGTGGAAAGGTCTATGATCTCTGGTCTAGGCTAAAGTAGAGGAATTAATCTTACATTTTGTCCATGTAAATATCTCGCCATTTTGAGAATTGACCACCATTGTTGCTAGATTTTTGATAACGTGGGAATAAATAGAGTGCTTGTGGAAGCCATCATAAGAATACACATACAAATAAAAGTCGTTAGAGTGCTTGTGGAATATAGGAACGGAGGAATCCTTTAGTTGTGTTCTCAAGTCCTTGGAATCCTTTATTTAGTTGTGCTCTTTAAGTTGAACTTTCTAGAGTGATCCAAATTAAGGTGGTAGCTAGCACCACAAATTAGACATGTAATGTAGCGAGAAAGTAGCAGAAGTAACAATTTTAATTGATGATGTCTCATGCTATGCAAAAAGACTAACTTTAACATAAAATAGTTAACCAAAATCTACATAATATTTTGAGTAAATTGTATAATTTTAGTGGCGTTTTTAAAAAGATTTAAAAAATATTATTTTTAGCATTTCAAAAGTGATTTTTTTGTTGTTAAAAATTCTCTATTTTTATAGGTCAATTTTTGAGACATTTGTAAAAATCTTTTCGAACTTTTATTTAAAACAAATTTATTTACCAAAATAAATTTAGATTTAATGTTCTTTTTATCAACATCCAATTTAATTAAAAACAAATGTTTGACCAAATGAATGCAAATGTCAAATGAATCCAAATAACTATAAATAAACAGTATTGCCAAATAAAACATTAGGAAAACACTAAAAGTCTATGTAGTAAAACAAAAATTCAGATCTTCTTTAGTGCCCTCTAAATCCTCATCACCATCCAGAGTTACATACAAAAATAGAAATAAAATTTAAGTTTTGACATGTATAAATCATATAAAAAGTTCTATTGAAAAATTTATGGTTAGACAACCTTTATAGATTTGGAAAAACCCTAAAAAAGCCTCATACTAATTAGAGTTTGATATCTCTTATATATTAGATAATTCCTGTCTAAACTTTGGATGTGGGACTTGGATTGATATCCCAAACATCTCCCCCTCAAATCAAGTACCACATAAACTTGTGGCCTTCTACCTCCAGCGAAACCTGGTACCAACCTTGTACCGCTTGTACTCTTGGCACCCTTATTCGCGAGGTCACCTTTTGAGGACTTACCTCCCACAACGAACATGTCCAACCCACTTCTCTGAACCGAACATGTCCAACCCACTTCTCCAGGTCCACTTCTCTGAACCTTGGCTCTGATACCATTTATTGGGCTCCTTTCCAAAAGGTCTCATACTAATTAAAGTTGGATATCTCTTATATATTAGACAATTCCTGTCTAAACTTCGCATGTGGAACTTGGATTGATATCCCAACAAAAATATCAGAAATATATATAGTAAAAAAGTTAACATCAAATCGATCGTTCAACATCAGGTAGATAAAATGACGATTATGGAACAAAGCTAAAGATACCAAATAGATGGTGATCTAGTAGTTTTAGAAGTGAATATTCAAATTTTCAATAGTTCAATTTTTTTTTTGTTTAACACAAACGCACTTCGTTAGTTTAGTTCCATTTATAATTGGTGATTTATATTTTAAATGCGATATAATTAACGACTTGTACACACACAAAAAAGACTCAAAACTTTTATGGTTTAATGTTATAGAAATTACATACATATATATATATCATTTCAAAGTAAATTAGAATTAAAATATTTTATTTTTATGCTCTCTTAGGTATAAATTAGAAACAAGAATCATTTTTATTTTATATATGCTAAAATTAAAATTTATGATATATAAATTATGATTGTATCATATCAATATTCTTTCTCTAAGTTTCTATTCCAAAACATATATAAAATATAAAAGACGATATCTCCTTGTGAGATAAAATAGGCTAGTGGGCCAGCTCGTTGTGGTCCACCACTGATAAAAATTTAAAAGACGACAAAAAACATTTGTATTTCCGTGCGCAAAATTATCTCTTATTCGGGTTAGTCATTTTTTACTTGTTGATTTATTTTTTGAATGCTTTTTCACTTAGTAAGCTCATTTTATAATTTTATAATGTCGATTTATCTTGTTATGATTGAATTTTAAATAGATGACTTATATATTTGCTGAATTATTTTTTCACTTTCTAAGATTTTTCATTGTGTCAAAAAATTTAAATGGTTGAGTTATATATTTGTTTGATGACTGTTTAACAAAATGATTTTCTTTTATACTATCAGCTTATATTATGTTTGTTGTTGGCTTAAATTAATGACTTAATTGGGCTTTATAGACCTTTATAGAGGAAGCCCATGTGTTTATAACACTTTCCAAAATCTCTCGCTGCATTTAACACTTTGGACAAAAAAAAGTCCAAAATATCCCCACGCGCTATAGATTCTTTCCATTCAGGTCCAGTATGTCCGC